CCCTCTCTATCTCAGAAAGTTGATGCTATAATCGAATTTGTTTGGCTTTTATAGGGAATGTGAGAAGTTATTTAATCAATTATTTTTGCTTAATTGAATTCAGTTTTAGCTTCTTCAGATTTGTATGCTATTTCTTGTATTTAGCCATGTTTGAAGGTGACATTCACACATAGAATCAATCTTGTTTTCAAAATTCAAAGTGAAGTTATGGATATTATGCCCTATTTGGTACACATTCATTTAAAATACATTATTTCCAAACTCATTTTCAACCACACATTTTTCAATAAAATAATATTTTTCATCATATCATTATTTAAAATACATTATTTTCTCGATAATATTCATCAAATACACCCATATATATTTTATTAAAGGATAAAAACAACCATCTAAGACAAATAATAAATAAGTATCATCTTTAATAAATTTGAAGTCGAAATTACATGCATTATTCATTGTTAAATATTCGAAGTAATGCTTATGTTAATTTTAGTTCTCTTAACACATTCAGTCTCTGCGATCAAATTTTGACACATCACTGTAATTTCGAGATTGATATCGCAAATTTGGACTCATTGGAAATTTGATTTGGACTCATATTGTCTAGTGAGGTGATTGGACGTGGTCCTAATGTTATTTTGTTAACACATGAATTATTGGCTCATTTTTAAGTTTTATGCTATTCCGAGTTTTTTGGGTTATCACACAATATTAGTCAAAGGCAAAGAACAAACTAAATGAAATTTTTTGTTTATTAATTATTGGTTGATTTTTTGGACCATAGGTTTTAGATCTTCAACTTATTTGAATACTAGTGGCGCGCACGTGCGATGCACGTGTTCTAGTTTAGTTGGCTACATAATAGCATGGAGTGATTTTTAGTTATTTTACACATTGTAGTTGATGCTAAATTTTTTTATTGGGCTTAAGCCCTCATTGCAATATAAAACAATAATCCTTTATCAACGGAAATAATGTTGTGTGTGGTCATAACCACTTTGGCAACTAATAACAAGGCAGACTTCACATCTTTTGTACATAAATGCAGTTGGAGCTAGTATTCTGATACACAAGGAAACATGGGTTTGTTAAATTTTTCATCTCAGGAACTCTTATTATTATTTCAATTTTTTTCCCTTCATTGTAAAAATTGTTTGAGATGATGTACCCGAATCTTGGACGAATTCCAGCCTTCCAATCGTACTTATGATGGATACAAAAGTTAATGGCCCAATTTCACAATAAGAAATATCATAGAAAAGCAGTGAATTAAAATGAAACAAAATGTAAATCACAAATATTACACCAAGATTGGTTCTTTTTAGGTAGTTGAAAAAAATTAATTTTTAAATAGGATCTACCAGCAACCAAAACTCAGTCCCATAGTGAACTTGACCCTTAAAATCCTTTTTATTGCATTTTACCAGGGAAGTTAGGCCATCAATGAATTATTTGTATTTGGTTGGAACTATGATCTGCAATGTACAGCACCAAAGTGAATATTTGGTAGCTAATTGACAAAAAGACATTGTTCAAGTCACAAAATCTGATAAATGTACCATGTCAATGCCAGCATTAACTCCAGCTACAATTGAATAAGTATAGTTTGCAGTAATTCTGTCAAGACTCCCAATCTGAGAGAACAAATCCCTGAAATTTTTCACATACAAAAATTGATCTTTGTTACTCAATTCACTGTTGGAACACAACTCCAAGTTGAAATTTTTTTNTAGTTTGCAGTAATCCTGTCAAGACTCCCAATCTGAGAGAACAAATCCCTGAAATTATTCACATACAAAAATTGATCTTTGTTACTCAATCCACTGTTGGAACACCACTCCAAGTTGAAATTTTTTTTGGAAAAATGAGTTTTACTCTGAAACGTAGAGTATTCTTTAGAAAACTGGTGGTTGTGTCACGATTAACGTGCATCTTTATCTCATTCCAGGTCGAGTACGAGACCATGACGGTCGCGACCCCCTTGATGATTGAATTATAATAGCCTGGCATATGGATACTTCTCATTGATGCCTTTGGTGGTTCCACCATCACCAATATAGTGTTTGGAACATGCTGCAACCTTTTGTCTGCACAAAATATTACGTAAAATCAAATAAACCAAGGGGACAAGATTTTATACATGTTA